GGAAGAGTGCCAAGCCAGGATTGAAACCCAAGATCCTCGTGCTCCATCCTGCCTCTCAGTCAGAATTGACTTTCCCATCACCAAGGAGACTACTGTCAGGACATTTAGAATGGCACAGGGCTCAGGAGTGAGGAGCAGATGGGACAGGAAACTCTCAGGGACAACGAAGGAAACCCAAGATCATTTGAACGTGGAGAAGAGGGGCCTCTAGTCTCTGAGGGGAGGGAACTGGCTTGTGTGTCCAGGGAGCGGGCAAAATCAGTGTAGCAGAGGGTTGTGGGAGATCTGGTCACAGAGCACATTCTGGTGCCTTTCCCTCAATACCCCAAGCTGGGCTGTCTGAGGGTCCTCTCACATGGGTCAAGGCCATACCTGGCATACAGAGAGAGTTTGGCAGAGGGCAGCCCAAGTATAACTAGGAGGAGGTCACCTGCAACCCAAGCTGGCGCTCTGGCAGTGTTCACTGCTTATAAGTTACACACCATCACCCTACACCACCACATCTCAATGATCCCACTTCATTTATTACCAAAATATCACAGAATTCCAGTCATAGTTCACATACAGTGTTTAACACAAACCTGATACCTGTGGAAAGAACTAAGTATTTGGACAATCGAATGTTTGGAATCATATCCCAAACTGTCATCACTCCGCACTCCAAAAATACGCTTTGAGAGCTTTGGAAACTGAATTAAAATGTCTACACAGCTATGAACAATTGTTTAATAAAACTTTTTCATGTTTCCATTACATGTAAATATATCAATTTGGCATCTCTATAAAAACTCTGAAAATGGTGCAAAAGTTTCATTCTCTTTGAGAAAGCCATTGACAAAAAATATTCGTACTTCACTAAAATTTTGAAAAATGGTCTTCTTTCAAAGCTTCTTTATTAATCTGAAATCTTCTGTATTATCAAAATCTAGGTTTGCTTTTTCCTCTTAAAACACTAAAGAACATTTATTCACAAGGATAAAAAGGGAAATAGGAAGATGGAAAAATGAGGGCTTTCCCCCCCCTCCTGAAAATTAATAATAATTAAGAAAAAGCTAGTTACATAAGCATCCTCAAATAACACAATGGGATTCATTTTATTGTTGACTTTGGACAGCAGTGTCATACTTTATTGAAAACAAACCCATGTAAAAACAAAGTTAAAATGAAAAATGGTATCTGAAAAATAAATTATTTCATATAAAACAAATCAGTAACTTAAAACACTAATATACAAAATGTCTACTCATCTACTGTACAACATGGGGACCAGTCAGGAAAAGTCCCCCTCCCCCAGAGCAAGTCACTATAAACAGAACATTACATGGTAACGAGGTGGTCCCAACCAATGGACAAGCTTTCTCTCCTGGGGGTACGGGGAGTGAAATACAGTGCTCTCAAAACCGCTGCTCAGACCACTGGTTAGCCTAACATAGGTCCTGGTGGTGACTTACAAGTAAATTTTCCTTTTTTTAAAAACGACCAAGCAGAAAACTGAACTATGTCACCAAAAGGTTGTGGGAAAATATACAATACAATCATTAGAAGTCAGAGGCAAATCAAAAGGTTTAGAACCTTGAACCCTGCTGAAGACCTGGGATCCAAGTTCTACTGCTATCATAAGAAAGGGTCAATTAGCAAAGCCACTCAACACAAAGCACTTGCAACCTTAGTTGGTGGCTGGCCTGGGAATCTGATAAATGGGAGGGAGGTAGGTGCCTTAGGTCCTGGGAAGAATTCCTGGTGGAGGACTGGGGTGGGGGCAGCTTATTCTTTTTTTTATCCAACACAGGAAGGCTGCAAAAGGCAGAGAGAGAAAAATCGGGCTGCATCAGATGTAAAATGGAACAGCTAGCTGGCTGATGCTAACTATGATTTTTAAGCCCAACAGTGGACTCAGGCCAGTTAATGGCCCTAGTTTGGAGGCCAACCAGAATAAGTTATTGCTAGTAACTTTCATAGGATTCTTCTATTTGTCTGATCCAGCTGCCAGCTCAGAGGCACCAACTCCTGCAGCAGACTGGTGCAGACCCTGATTAACACCAAGTGCAGACTCTGCAAAGTTAAGTCAGCTGCCTTTGGCAAGGGAAAGACTCACCTTCTGAACAAAGATGGAGAGCCACTCCAGCCCCAGCTGCTGGTAAGAGGCACAGCCGTGCACCATGGCCTAGCATATTCCACTGAAAAGCTCCAGAAGCCAAGGGTTAAAAACAAGAGAACTCAACTGGAACCAGGTCCACAAGGTGGGAGCTGTTTAGCAAACAACTGTTAGGGCAGTTACAGGACAAAAGAGAATTCAACCAAGGCTTCTCTGGCATTTATGTACCAAACCAAACTTCTGAAAAATTAACTTTATCTACTCTTATTTTTCCATCAAAATTCCCAAATAAGATCACTCATTTTGCAAAAGACAATTGTAAATAAAAATGTAAATTTTGAAAAATGGTTTCTTTTGGATTATGACTTTTAAAAAATAAATCTTCCTTTTGCAAACAAGCCTAGAGATGTAATGAACTTTATAGTCACAGGGCCAACATCTGGTAGATGGATGGGAGTGATAATTGCTTTTCAGGAGGAATATGTCAAAAACAGAATTGTTCCACATACCTATACGTCAAAACTCCCAAAGAAACGCATTGGGGTTTTTAGTTAGAAGCCTATTCAGAGTGGTGAGGTGACCATGTAACAGAATTTTAATGACCTGTCTACGGCCATACCACCCTGTACGTGTCCGATCTCGTAAGAATTTTAATGACCTGAGAAACTCAACTTTCAAAGGTTCATATGTACTCTACATCTCCTCCTCATCTGACCTAACATCAGAACAATCAATCTGGTTCCAATAAAAGGGAGGGGAGGAAAGAAGTTGTGGTGCTGGGTGAGAGCCCACCATCATCTCAATTTGCATTTATATTATCCTTATAAGACAACGGGCGAGTGAGGGCTGACAGGAATGTGTGTCAGTGAGATTAAAGGGTGGTATCAGAATTGGGAATCTTATCTCTGAGAAAATGTTGGCCCAAGGTTGCACCACCTGAAAGGCTTATTTTTCAAAAAACAAAAAACAAAAACATGCCAGTCCCAGGATGAAGAGCACTCGGGGGCAACATAATGGGGACAATCTTCATGTTTTGGGTTCTAGGAGGCACGTAAGCTGGCTTTCACTTAGGATCTGGGAAATTCTGCTGGAGGGAGGCCCTCCATGGCAACTTATGAGACAAGGCCTCAAGGTATGAACTTGGCCTCGGGTGGGAAAAGGACATGGCAACATCTTAAATTTGGGAGAATAATGCAAGCAACTGGTAGCCCCTCAAGAAAGTATGAGAATAATAGCTTCAAAATTTTTTTCCTGGGCTTCTCAGAACACTGATCTTTTCCGGAGAAGGCTGTGCCTGTCGGCCTTTCCCCCCACTTAAATAAATAAATACACAGACAGACAGATAAATAATGCTGCAATTCCATGATCTCAATAACTAAAAAACAGCCTATTATGACGTTTTAGTCTCGTGTCAAAGTTAAAAACTGCTGGTACTAAGTTATTCTGTTTTTATTCTCACTGTACACTAGGTATTTATAAAAATCGGATCATGCTCCGTAGGAATTGCTCGGAGATCTAGCCCTGGCTACTTCGCAGGCCCTGTCAGATTCTCCCTACTGGCTCCCCATTTTAAAAACACACCATTCCTATATGACAGATTTATAAATGTTTTGTCTTGAGGCAAGTATTTGTCCTTTAAGCTCTTATATATCCTCCCTGAATGCTGGGCCGTCTGTATTTCGCCTAGCCAAAAAGAAAGAAAAGGTAAAATAAAAAACAAAACAAAATTTGAGCAAAACAAAATCAAATTTAATGGTCTTAAATGCAAAAGTAAAAACAAACAAAAAAGCAAAAGAAAATTAACAGAACAGAACAACCCAAAATGTCAAAGCAATAATGAAGAGAACTTTTTTGAGGGTTAATCTTTAAAACTACAAATCAAAGGTTTTTTTTTTTTGTTGTTGTTGTTAATAGATAATTGGCAAGAAGTAAGTACTTTTCTGCTGAGTGTTCATATGAAAGCAAAGTTTCAAAACAAAATCCGACTAAAGTAGAAAAAAGTCTAGCACTCACAAGGGATATGAGAAATACAATGCTCAAATGTTCATGTTATTAAAAATAGAGCTATCTTATGCATTCGAGCTATGTTAAATGCTTTTGGAAACTGGAGAAATGACTGTGAACAACAATGTCTGATGTGTGGGGCACTGTGCATGCAATGTGTGGACAGGAACTCAGAATGTCGGAGTAGCAACACATCTTCAGGAGTGCCTGGGGCTGAGATCTGATTCAGGAATATATGAGTTTCCCTGAAACTCTTTGGTCCGTTCCCATTGACGTCTGGGCCTAGAAAACATTGTGTCCTCCTTTGGAGGGCTGGCCCAGCTCGTGGCCCATCCCCGGTGGTGGCCCTTGGCCACTGTCAGGACCACTCGGCAGAACCCAGGACTGAGTGACCGGAAGGTGGCAATGAGACCTGCTTGGGGAAGCAATTTCATGTCAACCAGAGCAGAAATCGCTTAAAATGCTGAAGCAGTTGAGAAAATGCACACTCAGCATCTGTCTAACATCTTTAGTTTAAAAACAAAAATTAAAAGGTCATTTCTTTTTCTTATCCAGTTTGTGGAGACACCGAATGAAGCGTGTTAGACAGTCTCAGAAGTAAAGCATGCTTCAGTTTCACCACCATCCCGAGGGACTGGTTAGTCAATGCAGTCTACTTAGATTTCTGTTTAATATATATTTTAAAGAAAATAACTTAAGAAACTTAAAGTTGGTCTAACATTGTGGGATTGCAAACATTTGAACATGTTGGTTGCATCTCAGAGTATAAAAACCTTTTCACTTCTCATTTAGACTAAGACAAACACTTGTGAAAATTGGCGCAAAATGAGTTGTACACTAACAAAAAAGTTTCAACTTCTTCACTCTGAATTACCTATTCCGTACAAAAAGCATGAGTGAGTTATTTGTGGGACTTGTTGGTTTTGAAGGAAACCTGTAAGATTTTGTCCCCCAGGCGGTAGCCGTTCAGACTTGCTATGGCCATCGCGGCTTCTTCATAGTTTGTCATGGTCACAAAACCAAAGCCTTTGCACTTGTTGGTGTTGAAGTCGCGAATCACTTTCACATTGGTGACTGCGCCAAAGGGGCCAAACATCTGCCAGAGGATTCCCTCATCGGCATCTTGACCAAGGTTGTAGATGAAGATGCACCAGCCTGAAGACGCGTTTCCTGGGACATTGACACCAGAAAGCCCACTCATGTGATCTACACCCATAGGGGAGAACCTAGCAAACAGAGAGCACAGCATTCAGGTCAAGATCAAGGTCAGTGTTGGCCAGCATGCCAACACTATTGGGGGAACAAGTGGGATTGGCTCAGGCCCTTCCCTCTCCCATCAGTCAGGGGTGGAGTTTTCAAGGCTGTCACAAGTCACAAGCAAGATTTTTTTTTTAACTGAGAGGAATTCAATATGGTGGCAGAGGAAGGGAGTCACCTGAGACACTTGGTGCCTGTGTAAGTTCAGATCCTCAACTGATTTCACTTAGAATGATGGCCTGTTAGTGGCTGACCAATTACTTACTCCATTCTTTCCCAATGTGTGTGTGTGGTTCCTGTTTGCCATTTCTGTGCTTCCCACATTTTAAATGGTGGAAGCCTCTCCACACTCTCAAATTGCCCTGGAGGAAACGCTGTCCTCATACTGCATATGTGTCTTTTGGGGAGGCCTGTACTTTTTCTTCTTTTTCTGAATTTTGTACCTTTCCCTGGCCATGACCTGCCATCTCTAAGGGTTGACAGCCAAGCGGTGTCTGGGTTACACGTGCTCCGGTGAAGGGCCACTGCCAGCATGAGGGAACTCCTTCCCAAAGCTCTGGGCAACTCTCCGCTGCTGGCTCATAACATCCCAGGAGGACCAGGGGCCATACTGCAGGGTCACTGAACTGTACACAAATGTGGAACATTTTGATGTAATTAAGACTAAGCCCTTCCCTCTCCCATCAGTGTGTAGCCATTGCAATAAAGATTAAGGGAGATAATAAAACTGTTACTGAAGCCATGTGGCCCTCTAGATGGTTTCAGGTCAATTTAAAAAGATTTGACTGTGATACAGTATTCATGAAGCCACACCATGCAAATGGAGAAGTACTTCATTTCCAAAATAAAGCCGGGCTTTGAGCTGTGGGGCTGACATAGAGGCAGGTGGGCGCCTTCATGACCCCAGGCAGAGTGACCAGCCCCCGAGGTATAGGCCACTGATCCAAGGATTGTATTAACCCAGGTATGGAAGAATCCAGACACATTATTGGCCATGGCTTTGACTTCTCAAGAATAATTTTAAACAGCCTGCATCGGAACGCCTGAGTTGGCTACGTGACTTGTGACTTATCAGTGATCTTGAGTCTGTTGGGGTGACAGTGAGGCCACAACAGCATTGAAATGGGGGTGAGAAAAGGCACCCAGCTGGTTCTCAATGAATGAGAACTGGAAAGGAAAGGAATTCCCAATTTTAAAAGGACCCCTTAAAAGGCCTTCTTTTCTCCAAGTTTTATAGGTACTCAAAATGGACACGACTTATTATAGTTAATCTCATGTAGCTGTTACACTACAAATAATCTGAAAAAATATTTATTGCCTTTTATTGACATGATTCTCATGAATTATTGTTAAGGTTTTTCTCTTGCCAATTGGAGCTGATTTCCTTCCTCCTGACACTCAGGAAACCCATCCTAACTCCCTTCTCCATGGCACAAAAGGAGAACTGACCCTCCTTTCCCCAATATGGTAACAGAGGCACTTCCTTCTCTTCCGGGTCTTTCTCTTATTTTTATCTTAGTCTGCCTTCCGGTGGTAAATCTTCCTTCCTGTCACTCCACTCACTACTTCCTCCCAGCTCTTTGCTTTGTTCCCCTGGCCGTCATGATCCCTTCCTTACCTAACCAACAGTTTGGCTTCTCTGATCTCCCCTTTCTCTTCTACTCCTTCTTGCTGTGACCAAGGCCCCCTTCTCCTCCAACCGTCCCTGGTTTTCCAGGGACCATAACTCAAGGAACACTGCCATCCACTCATCCCAATGAGTAGTGAGGTGATCTGTGTTATGTGACTTCCACGCTGGATTGACTTCCATACTTGCTTCTGTCTGCAGGCACTTCCCCTGTCTCTGTCTAGTAACTAGGAGAGCCAGCTATAGAACCTGACATGGCTGAGAACTCTGGACAGGGCTTTTAAACAGAAGGCTACAGCATTTAGATATCAAAGTAACTCCAAAAGGTGTACGAGAAAGGGTTGTCTTTGCCCTGATGACCAAATGCCTAAAACCTGTTTAAAAACTCAGGAAGGAGAACAGCTCTCACTTAACATACCAAAAGCTGCATCCTTTTCTTATGGAGTTGAATGATGCATATATTTTTAGAGTGTTTTTTTTTTTTTAAGTTGACTTTACTGGGATGACATTGGTTCACAAAACCATACAGGTTTCAAGTGTACCACAGCTCAATAAAAGATCATCTACACACTGCATCCATGCACCCATTGTCCCAAACGATGTCTCTTTCCTTCCTAACTTCCCCTTCTTCGCCCACCTATACCTAGCTCCCACCCGCCTTTCCCTCTGGCTATTACCACACAATTATCTGTGTCTGTGTGTTATATATACGTGTTTTTTTTTTTTTTAATGATCTTTTAAACTCATGGCTATACTCTCATTTCTCTAGAAACTATATGCTGGAGTGCTATCACCCATTCTCTCAGGTTGGAGCTGGCATCATCTTTTTAATTCTAATTAAAGACAACACTCAATTGGAAGGAGATGGCTCTCATATAGGCCCTTTTATAACGGAGGTGGGGACATGGAGACATGAAATGGTTCTGAGTGCAACCTTCTGATGCGATCAGCCCGGCATGCCAGTGCTTCCCAGTGTGTGTGCACACCCAGCAAGTGGGGCTCTACCAGCACTGCCAGTCACGGGGGAGAGACTGGGTAGGTAGATGAGAGCACTGCCCTCCTGACCCACCTGAATCTCTGTGCCTGGTGATGCACGGGGCCTCCAAACCGTCTAGCTGGCGAGTGGTACAGCTGGGAGAGCAGCGCCACATTTTTGTTCTGGTTGGGATTGGCTGCGAACTTCACTGTAATGGGTTCAGAGGAACCTGGGGGTTTATGACCATTGAAACTGGTAATTGCCTCTTCTGCTTCCGACCGTTTGTCAAACCGGATAAACGCAACCCCTCTGGACAAACCTTTTTAACAAACCAACAAAAATGGAGTTAGGGGGAAAAAATGCAAGGATTTTTTAAAACTGAAAAACAAAAATCAAGCAAGTCAGTCTACTGTGCTTCAAATTGGATGCTTACTTAGCTAGAAAGACAAAAATTAAACCTAAATATGCACAAGCCACCTGGGTCAAGGTTTCATTATTCTGTGTGAAGTGAATTTAAAAATGTTAAATATGTTTAAATTAAGAATAAAGGGACAGCACAGCCAGAGTGGCTCAGCTGGTTGAGCATCGTCCTGTGTACAGCAATGCTGCCGGTTCAATTCCGGTCAGGGCACATACCTGGGTTGCGAGTTCGAGCCCTCATTGAAATATATATGGAAAGCAGCTGATCGATGTCCCTCCTTCGCTCCCTCCCTTTCTTTCCCCCTCCCTTCCTCTTTGTAAGCACGTTCTTGGGTGAGGATTAAAAAAAGAATGAAGGGACATTTATAATTCAATTAAAAATAGTTCTATGACTATCTAAAAAAGAAAAATGAATTTAAAAACCCAACAATGACTAATAAAAGATTAAGGTTTCAGACTTTCTTCCGAGTTACTCATTGCCAAAAGATATTTGGTGACAGATGGCCACATTAGAAGCAATCACATCCCCATCTCCCATCTCCCATCACTATTTTGACACCAGGTACCCACTGTGGTGTGGGTGCCAGATGGGCTGGGGAGGGAAGGCAACCAGGATTGGCAGGGCAGGGTCTGAGAATTCTCCCAGGCTCTGGATACCCCCTGCCTCCTTGCCCTCTCAGTGTGCCCGAGGGGCAGTGGTGCTGCTGAGGGTCTGTAGTGAATAAGAGGCAACCTGGCCTCATAGCCCGGACAGGCTTTTGCAGCCTGCTGCCTTATCAGTGGGCCCAACAGAATCGCTAGATAGTAGGTGCCCAGCTCAGCCTTCTCCTTCATCCTTGAAGGGCGAGGAGTCCCAGTAACCAAGCCTCACCCAAACAGCACTTTCCTGCCGCCATCAGCTCCTTCACTACTTTAAAATCCTGGACCTCCTGTGGGCCCCAAACTGCCCTCAGAACCAAGTGATGCTACTCACCCTTTCCCCCTAAACCAGTGGTCGGCAAACTGCAGCTTGCAAACCATATGTAGCTCTTTGGCCCCTTGAGTGTTCTAACGCCACTTCTTCAAAATAGACTCGCCCAGGCTGAAAACTGACTTCTGCGCATGGGCCACGATGTTTCAGTCGCACTGTACATGCGTACCCGGACATGGTATTTTGTGGAAGAGCCAGACTCAAGGAGCCAAAGAGCTGTTTGTGGCTCGTGAGCCGCAGTTTGCCGACCACTGCCCTAAACTGACCAGGCACACACACAGTGCTGACAGTCCCCCATAGACTGCCTGGCAGGTTAAGAGTCCCTGCCTTAGGCCTACTCCATACCTGGTCTTGTTCCTGCATGGGAAAGGCCAGTGGCCTCCATCTGTCTTGAAAAGGTACCTTCTCTTGAGGCACTTGTAGGTAAGCTGAGTCCCTCTACAGAGCAGGAACTCTATACAGGACTAGGCTGCCTGAGATCTAAGGCAGTGTCTGGTGAGTTGGCATGAGTGTGAGACCTGAGCAAACCAGGTAGCAGAGGGTTCAGCTGCCCCCAACAACCTGCCCATCCACATTCTGGGTCTGGGGGGATGATGAGGAGATCTTGGCCCTTGAAGAATTCAAGGAATGGGGTGGGGGTGGGGTGAGGCAATTTGGAGTCACAGAAGAGTATGGCTCCTTCTCCTGAGAAGAAACAGGGTCAAAACAAACAAACAAACAAACAAACACACATGCACACACATAGTGAAGGTTCAAATGTAGTGGAGAGGTTGACAGCAAGGGCCAGTGTGAGGGTAACATTGCTGGGCTGGAGTCACAGGTGTAACTGGTGGGATGGCTGTGGTCGATAGCCCTATGCTAAACACTCTCGTATTTGTCTGCCATTTATAGGGCCACCAGCCAAGTGAACACACCAGATGTTCCCCCATTCAGCTCCCATGTTCCAGTACCTTTCCTTACTATTTCCCACAGGATCCCTCCTACCAACTGCCTGCCCCCTGATGGGCATGGGACATGGGTCTCCCTGGCTGGTCCTGAAGCCCTGGAGGGGCATAGAGAGACTCAGGCATATCAGATGACAAGTGTCACTGCAAAGCATGGTTGACACCTCTCTGGGCCTGGGATCTCATGTTGGGACTGACCTGGACGTGATACTGTGGGCCCCACTGAAACATACAGTGAATAGCCAGGGACCCTCAGACCACAGGTTCTTTGTTTAGAACTGTAACATATTGTGGACAACCCATGCTGGGTCTTAAAGCACACAACACTCCGACTGGGAAGCTCCCTGACCCAGTTTACCCCTCCCCCAGCATAGTGCCCTGGGAGATCATACAGAAGCTCCTAGCAGTCTGAAGGCTGTCCCATGTTGGCTTCATGGCTCATGTATGCCCCAGAAAATTCTAGAACCTGAGCTTTTTTTTTTTCTTTTTTTTTTCAGTTCAAAAGAACACCTGAAAGTACTATTTTTATTCACTCTTAAAGGGCATGAATAATAGCTTAGACAGATGGAAACATAAACAAAATCTAACTTTAGATAAATAATGCTGAAAGCCGGAGCTGGCTGGCTCCTCCAGGAAGCTGCCTTCAGGGAGATGGTTTTACTCTATTTATAAAACTTCAAGATCAAGCAGAGAGAGTGTGTGTGCAAGTGGGATTTCCCTGTTTGATTTTATAAAATGACTTTCAAATGAAAACTTCCAAACTGCAATGAACAAAATCCAAGAAAGAGAAAAAAAATGTTATTTAACGCAAGAAAATGTTAATTCACTATGATGAATCTACAGTTTTTTGAAGATAGCTGTTTTTTCCTTCTAATGTTTATTTTTAAAATTTTTTAATTAAATCCTTATTGTTGAAAGAATGTCGTATGTCCCCTTTTTTCCTCCACTGCCCCTTCTAACTTGCTCTCACCCCTGCCCCAGGCCTTTATCACCCTATTGTCTGTGCCTAAGGGTTATGTACATATGGATGCAAGTTCTTTGGTTGATCATTCCCCGCTCTCCTCTGAGATTCCACAGTCTGCTCTATGCTATGTCTCTGGATCTATTTTGTTCATCAGTTTATTTTGTTCATTATAACCCACATATGAGTGAGATCATGTGATATTTGTCTTTCTCTGATTGGTTTATTTCGCTTAGCATAATACTCTCCAGATCCCTCCATGCCGTCTCAAAGGGTAAGAGATCCTTCTTTTCCGCTAGTGTTTTTAGAATTAAGAGCAGAGACCAATAAATGGCACAATCTTCAAAAGAGTAAACTATAAAGATCACAATTAAAATGGATAAAGAAGCAAAGAAAAAATTAAAAAATTAAGATCTATTAGCTCAGGATGTAAAGGTTTCTGAAGAGAGCTTCCCATTTCTTCAATACTAAAAAGCATATCTTAAGGAGGCAAGTCTGTCTGCCATGCTGTTCTCTGCCTCGTTCCCTGTGGGCTCCATGGGGTCCCAGTAGAAGGCTGGGGGGTAGCCTCCTCTAGAGCGAGGGGAAGAAGGGAGCCTTCAGCCAAAAAGGACTCAGATTTTTTCTCTCTAACTCCAGCCCCAGGTCAGGAAGCAGAACTGGGAGAGGGGCCAGGAGCCCCTCATCTCCTCCTTCCCTCCTGTCCTCTTGCGAGGACACCATAACAGAAAAGGGCATGGGGTCCCAGTGAAACAAAAGCTACATGGCCAGGGGTATGTTCCCAAGGTCGCTGGATCTAGAAAAGCAGGGCCATAAAAGCAGGAAGGAGGGTCCCCAGGCAGCCCATTCAGGCACTCCAATGCAGGTGGAGCTGGGAATAAATACATGCACTGACCAGCTGACTGCATTTGTTTTTTTTTCAATGGGGGCTTTAAGAAACTACTAATCTGGTGCAGGCCAGGGGGGTTTATCCCAAATAAACGGTATCCTCACCCTATGCCCACCCCTATCCTCCAGCAGAGGGTGAGAATGTAGGAGGCAATATGCATGGGGCAGAACTCATGTCACTCCAGCATAACCCGGAGTCTGTGCCAGACTAGGGATATACCCAGAGCTCCCATGAAACGGCAGTGACCTGAGCCTGTGGACTATACCCCTCAAGCCACGCCGCCTCCTCAGGCCCCGAGGCAATCAAGCTGCCACCAATCTCAGCTTCCACAGCTGGGGCTAGAGAAAGAAGAGCAGAGGATAAGGCCAGATGCCCCAAAGCACACAGCTTGGGGGGAATGTGAAAAAATGTGTGCGACCCCACCTACCTGCTCTCCAGGGTCTGCTCTGCAAAGGGGAGGTCATCTCAGAGCTATAACTTCCTGTGCCCTAATTACCCAATATTAGTTTTAATACCACAGCAAAGGGGGCAGTGAATACTCTGTGTAGGAAGAACATAAAAATCAAATGCAGACAATTCTACCGGCTCCACTGAGCTCCGGAGGCAAGAAGCTTCCTTTCTAGTTTGTCAGCAGATCTCCACTCCTGGCAGGAACAGTTCTGAGGAGTCTAAAAGAGGGCATGGCCCACGCTCTCTGCTCCCCAGCTAGAGGCATGCACAGGACTTGGCAAAGGATACCCTAACTCCAGTCTCCAGGCCAGCAGGGCATGCGAGCCACAGGCAGGGCCAGAGCCCAGAATCCTGCCAGTCTGTCAGCCCAACGCTGATTCAGCAAAGCCCAAGTGGCTACTGTCCTGAACTGAGATGACCTAGAAGGGCTGGGGTAATAAGTGAGTAAAATTCACCACTGTTGAGTTCTGTGGGTGGGGCATCTACATAATCAAAACAGCCCCCCTTGTAGCTTTGGGACAGAAAGGCCTGGACTTAAGAGTAAAGACGGTCACATCACACATTGTATGCCTGCAATAAGAACAGCAGCAAATACTTGTAACCCACACACAGACCAGGCTGGGACATTTGGGTGCCTAAGGAAAGGTATGTCTTGTTGCCACTATGTCTTGGCGTTTTCACCATAAATGCCAGCCTGACTGAGGGACTCTTTCCTGCCACTTCATCTCTCCAGTCTCATTTTGATTCTGTTTTCATTGGTGGAACAACTAACGACATTTAAAATCAAACATGATCTGTCTTCCCTAGGAAACCTAGCCCCTGGCCTTGAGGAAAACCTCACCGTGCATCCCAGGCCACCGCCGTACCTGTTGTCTGGTCCACAAGGACTCGGGAGTTGATGATTCGCCCGAATCGGGAGAACATGTCCTCCACATCCTTCTGGGTCATGGTCCTGGGGAGCCCGCTGATGTACAAGTTGGCGTCTTTGATGACCTCTGAGCTTGGGCGAGCATATGACACCTTGAAAACAAAACCGCTTTCGGGGGTTAGGACAGGTGTGTGGCCAAAGCATCAAGGAAGGGTGTTACATTTTGGGGTGAGAAAAAGCCAACCTATGGTGGGAGAACACACAAACACTCGTCACCTGAGGCAGCTCCCCAGGCAATGAGCTGACGGCTGGCAGCCTTTTCACATTTCAATGAAGGAACATTCTCTCTGTTTTACAAAGTAACTGAAGGTCCACAGTTTGTTGGTGGCAGAGCGGGGACTGAACGCTGTTACCTGTGCACTTACCAAGGCCTTATCCCTCTCTGCATGATGAGCTGGGCTGGGAACAAGACCTGCCTGTGAGGAGTGGTGGGCAAAAAAGCTGGATGCTGCTGGGAGTGCAACATTCATCTGTCAATAGGCAAGCTCGCCACAGGAGTCCAGATGGGATGTGAGTGCGAGGGGAGCCCTGAGTTCCACACGCAAATGTTCAATATTAAATGACTCTAGGCCTTTTAGGCTTATGTTTTGCAAACTTGAAGAAAGCCTAACATGAACTTTTGTAGTGGCTTAGAGAAAGTGGCATGTATGCACTAGAGGTGGTGAGGAGAGGCTGCCGGGCTGATGGTAAGAAAAGGTCTTTGGACCTTTCTTCAAAGAAAAGGTCTCTGAAGAAAAAGTGACAGCTGTGTGGACCCTGCAGGCCACAAGGAGGGACCAAGGTCTCATTGGGAAGGGGCAGCCGGGAGGAAGGCTTCTGCCCACAAAGGGGCAATCTAGGGAAATGGGACTCAGTCACACCCAACAGAGACAGAACTCAGTGAGGAGGCTGAGAGACAGAGGCGGAAGAGGAGGAAACAAGAGAACCGTGTGCTCCAGAAGGTGGGGACTGCAGAACTTTCTCTCTGAGCGTCACAAAACTGATGTGATGAGGAGCCTGAAACCATAACACAGGAGCAAAGATACACTTTTTTTTTTTTGCAAGTATAATTTTTTTTAAATTTACATGCGACCAATGAGCTATTTTGATATTTTAATTCTTTATAGAGATATAACTCATCATAAAATTCATTCTTTTTTTTTTTAAAATTGATTTTAGAGCGTGAGGGAGAGAGATGGAAACCTCATTAATTGGTTGCCTCTTGCACACAACCCGGGCATGTGCCCTTGACTGGAATTGAATCTGGGGTCCTTCAATCCATAGGCTGACCCTTTATTCACTGAGCCAAACTGGTTAGGGTGCAAGTATAAACTCTTGTCACTGGGCAGCATGAGGGCACGGACAACACGTGTGTTCTTACCATGCTAAGAAGGGCAGGAGTGTAGTTCTATGTGCCAAGAACACCCCACGCCCAACTCTACGAGGGCATGAAGTTTGTCTGATTTGTTCAACAGAATAGGTGTTCAATAGACATATACTAAGCGAATGTCGAATAAAGTGGCTGTGATAGGAATGCCGAATAAAATGGCTCTGAGATGCTGAAGGTGCCCTTGACAGTGATGGTGAGGTAGGTCAGGTTTGGCAGAGATCCAGCCCAGGACAGGATTGAATGAGGTGCTCACCACTCTTTACCTTAATGGTTTTGGACTGGAGCCGCAGGCCATTCAGCGTGTTTATTGCTTTCTCCGCATCCTTTGCAGTCACATAGTTCACAAAGCCATAGCCCAAGCTGTGTCCTGTGGGAGAACATGTGTACACTGGTAAACCAACAGAGAGAGACCCAGAGGATAAAAAGGTCAGAGAAAAGACAAAGAAAAAACACAGGAACCTTAAGAGCCAGGGTCTGCAGGAAATGAGTTTATAATTTACACTGAGTAGCCAGATTATTATGCATTCAGAGATCATAATAATCTGGCCACTCAGTGCATATTAATGGCTTATTTATTATTGTTTTTTAATATATACTTTATTGATTTCAGAGAGGAAGGGAGAGGGAGAGATAGATAGAACATCAATGATAAGAGCTAATCATTGATTGGCTGCTTCCTGCACAACCCAGGGATTGAGCCCACAACCCAGGCATGTGTCCTGACCAGAAATCCAACCATGACTTCCTGGTTAATAGGCTGATGCTCAACCACTGAGCCCTGCTAGCCTGCCTGGCTATATTAATGGTTTATTTGGTACACTTCTTTGGCAAACTTGTATATTTTCTGCAAAGAACATGTTACTTCTGTAATTTAAAAAAAGTTATTGAAAAACTGTGCTACTAACTACATTCTGGGAAACCCATCACTAAAGCAATGACAATGATCGGTGCTGCTAGTGATGGCTACTCTGTGGGGTTCTGAGGGTGCTTGGGTCTGGGAAGGGGAGGACAGTTACAGGTGGCAGATAGATAGACAGACACTTCTCCACCACTTCCTACCCCAGAGCAGGGAAAGCTTGCTGGGCTCTGGTGCCACCCAGTGTCAGTTCTCTTATTTTCCTGAATCTGCAACCCAATGGGGAGCACAAGGAGAGGACAGCACTTAGTCGGGCAGCCCCTGTACCACCTTCACAGCCTTGGCTAAGCTTGCAGGGCCCCCTTGGAAGTGGCCCTCCACTGAGATAGCATTATCAGCTGAAGTCTGGGGGAGTCATACGGGATGCAAGAATCTGAATTCTTTCCAAAGAGAGCCAAGGTTACAGAAACTTGTTCCAGCCCCTTCTTCTTTTTCTTTCTTCTTCTTCTTCTTCTTCTTCTTTTTTTTTTAAATATATTTTATTGATTTTTTATATCAATAGAGAAGAAGGGGGAGGGAGAGAGAGTTAGAAACATCGATGAGAGAGAAACATCGGCCAGCTGCCTCCTGCATACCCCCTACTGGGGATGTACCTGCAACCAAGGTACATGCCCTTGACCGGAATTGAACCTGGGACCCTTCAGTCCGAAGGCTGCTCTATCCACTGAGCCAAACCGGTTAGGGCTTCAGCCCCTTCTGTATGAAACTTTTAAAAGTGGGAGTGCCCACCAACTGGATACCCACAAGGGACTCAGCATAGTAGGCAAGGCATTGTGGGTTCAGGAAGTTAGAGAGGAGCAAAGGCTGAGGGTCTGAGGTGGAAGGAGCCTTACCTCTTCACCACAAGGGGAGCAGGAGGAGGCACAGAGTAGAGAACCACCAATGTGCCCACATCTGACCCATGTACATGCCACGTTAGGGGGCACCCACTACACATAGGCACTGCCTTGGGCAGAATAGAGCTGTGTGTGAGACCAAGGGCCACCTTCATTGAGTTTGTTCCATTCCTCCAGTTGGCAGAGGGTAACAATGAGCAGGTAAAAAATACAATCAGGGTGTCTGATCAGCCAGAGCGGCTTAGTTGGTTGAACATCATTCTGTGTACCAAAAGGTTATGGGTTTGATTCCTGCTCAGGGTACATACCTAGGTTGTGAGTTTGATCCCCAGCTGGGGAATATACAGAAGGCAACTGATCACCAGGTCAGCCTGGCTCAATGGTTGAGTGTTGACCTATGAACCAGGAGGTTACAGTTTGATTCCCGATCAGGGCATATGCCTGGGTTGTGCACTCAGTCCCCAGCATTGAACAACAGGAGGCAGCCGATCAATGATTCTGTCTCATCACTGACATTTCTGTCTCTCTCGCCCTCTCCCTTCCTCTCTAAAATAAATAAAAATATATTAATAAGCTGAAACCGGTTCGGCTCAGTGGATAGAGTGTCGGCCTGCGGACTGAAGGGTCCCAGGTTTGATTCCGGTCAAGGGCATGTACATTGGTTGCGGGCACATCCCCAGTAGGGGGTGTGCAGGAGGCAGCTGGTCGATGTTTCTCTCTCATCGACGTTTCTAGCTCTCTATCCTTCTCCCTTCCTCTCTGTGGAAAAACAATAAAAGTATCTTAAAAAAATAATATATATATATATATATATATACACACACACACACACACATTAATAAAAAAAGGCAACTGATTGATGTTTCTTTCCCTCCCTCCCTCTTTCTAAGCATGTCCTCAGGCGAGGATTAAAAAATAAATAAAAAATACAACTAGGCTTAGACCACAGAGATGGAGATCCTCATTGTAGCTATGCTGACTCAATTGGAAGTGCCAGAGGAACCCAGGCACATTTCTGTGATGAGACTTGGAACCCAGAGGACAGCTTAACTCGGTTTTGTCACTTAAAAAAATTTATTTTTTAAATGTAAAGAAAAATTACAAAGATAATGCAGAATTCCCATACACCCCACACCCAGTTTCCCATTAGTAACAACTTATACTAGAATGGATGAAACACTTGTTTACAAGTAATAAACCCAGCAGTGATACATTTTTAAAAATATATATATGTATTTGTATTGATTACAGAGAGGTAGGAGGGAGAGGGAGAGAGAATCATTGATCAGTTGTCTCTTGCGTGCCCCTTACTGGGGATCGAGCCTGCAACCCTGGCATGTGCCCTTGACCAGAATCAAACCCGGACCCTTCAGTTGGCAGACCAATGCTCTATCCACTGAGCCAAACCGGCCAGGCGATATATTATTTTAAAATGCAATCCACATTTGATTTCATAGTATTTGTCTTCCCCTAATGTTCTTTTCTGTCCCAGGATGCCATTCGGAATCCCATGTAACATTCAGTCATCACGTCTCCTTAGGCTCCTTTTGGCTGGGACAATTTCTCAGACCTTCCTTGCTTGTGATGACCTTGACAGTTTTGAGGAGGGCTGGTCAGGAATGCTATAGAATCCCTCTCAGTCTGGGCTGGTCAGATACTTTTTCTGATGGTTACATTGGCGTGATGGGTTTTGGGGAGGAAGATCACATAGTGCAATGAATGTCCTTCTCATGACATGACATCAGAGGGTGTATTCTGTCAATGTGACTTGTCACAGATGATGTTGACCTTCATCTCCTGGCAGGGGCAGTCCATTTGGCAGGTTTCTTCTCCACTGTAAGGCCATTCCCCGATTCCAAACTGAAGGCTTTAGAAGGAAGTCATGGCGCAGCCCACACTTAGGGAGTACCTTGTGGAATTCCACTCTGCCTCCTTCAGGGTGGAGTAGCTATATAAATTATTTACACAGCTGCTTTCTTTTTTAAAGAAACAAAAACAAAATCTGACCCTCCAGACCCATATATTTTATTTTATTTTATTGATTTTTTACAGAGAGGGAGTGGGATAGAGAGTTAGAAACATCGATGAGAGAGAAACATTGATCAGTTGCCTCCCGCACACTCTCCACTGGGGATGTGCCTGCAACCAAGGTACATGCCCTTGACCAGAATCGAACCTGGGACCCTTCAGTCCACAGACTGATGCTCTATCCACTAAGCCAAACCAGTTAGGGGCAGACCCATATTTTTAACAAAACCCCATGGATCTCAGAGACTTGGCTCCTGAGACTGAACAGTGAGAATCCTGGAGAGCAGGGTTGTAGGGCCCAGGTCCATCTAGCAGGAGAGTCATAGCACAACTCAGAAACTACAATCAGCTTCAGGTCAGGGACTTAGGGTCCTTGCAAACATTCCAGACCATAAATATGAGAGTTGAGGATGCAAAGGAGGTCTGTGATAGATTCTCAACCAAACTCCAGCCTGTCTGAGATTCTTACACCCAAACACCTGCTTTTCAACCTCACTCTGTAAATGTCTCACTGTAGCCAGGCCAAGAGTGTCCTTTCTGACCCAGCCTTGAACATGCTCCTCCACTCCTCTCTGATAAGCAATACCCGCCTCCTTGTCTTTCTACTCCTCCATCAGGGCCAATTCCACCTTCCGGTGCCTATGGAGGTCTAAGCAATGCTGGGGAAAGCAAACACCAATGAAGACTCACCCAGGCCCCATTCCTGTATCTTCAGCTATAGCTGGCTCCTCTCAGTATATAAACAGGGCCTTGCTCCACCTCAGTGCTTGGTGGCCCTGGCTGGCTCCCTAGAGTGGTCACTGCTGACTGCTAGCACTACACTCACCAAGGCTGTCCAGGGCCCCTGGGTGCTGCCCTATGGACAGTTTCAGGACCAGCTTCCTGAGCTCTCAGCTTCAAGTACCACCTCCTCCAGGATGTGACAACAGTGCCAAGTTTTCTTTCTCCTTAGCTGTCCCTCTTCAGGTTCTTCCTCTGCCAATTTCATCAAGATGGTCCCCAAGACTCTGCCTTTGATCCTTTACCTCCATCAGTCTTCCTAGGTGACCTCTCTGACCACCTGTGTGCCTGCACCTTCTAATGTCACCTAGGAAGTTGCACATCCTTAGATGGCCACTGCCTCCTTTTCCTGTTCTTACACCAACTCCAGTTTTCCTGACTGAGTCCGCCAATAATAACTGAGCACCTAGTATGTACCAGATTCCAGGCCAGGTTGGTGGGGTGGGGTGGGGTTTTGATGATGATCAAAAGGAGGATGCTTCTACCTTTATAAAACTCATATCCCAGTGGGAAAATTGGACAACAAACCGGCAAGAAAGAAAAGAACAAACCATTGCATAGGTGCTAGGAGGAGGATCTTTCTTGTGGTGTGAGCCTGACAGGATGGGCCCGCAGTAGACAGGGTGGACAGAAGCACCTTTTGAGGTGATATCTGAAGCAAGACCTTTCGATAGCTGAGGGCAAGCATTCCAGACGGAAGAGCAAGTGCCAAGTCTCTGAGGTAGAAACAATGAGTATGTACCAGGAAATGGGGGAATGGACCAGAGGTTGCTGCTGGGTAGAAAGCAGATTCAGTAGGTCAAGCCAGACAGGACCCTGTGGAGTCTGTGAGCTGAGGGCAGGGTGCACCAGAGAGGAGGCAGCAGAAGGAAGCCCTACAGAGAAGACCTGCAGATGGGCTGATGCAGGAGAGTTTCAGAGGAGCCTAAAGTGCCAGCACTCCTGGAATGGGCTGAGCCTTCTGGGGCCAGGTGGGGAGGGATCTCTGCATACCCCGGACCGCAGGGCTGGCTCTGTCCCTTCAATCTGTTCTACCCTCTGTGGTGGACACCTGTGTGTAGCAAGAAGAAAGGTGGCAGAGGAGCAAATGGGAGTCCCTGATTTTTACCCAATTGATGATGCTATAGAGCAGTGGTTGGCAAACTCATTAGTCAACAGAGCCAAATATCAACAGTACAACGACTGAAATTTCTTTTGAGAGACAATTTTTTAAAACTTAAACTTTTTCTAATGCCACTTCTTCAAAATAGACTCGCCCAGGCTGTGATATTTTGTGGAAGAGCCACACTCAAGGGGCCAAAGAGCCGCATGTGGCTCTCGAGCCAAGGTTTGCCGACCACGGTTGTAGAGCAAAGTGCTTAACACAGTGCTGAGCACCAATCTCCACTCTTTCCTTCACCATGAACCAATCACTTTCATCTTTGGTTTCCCATTAGAATCACTAGGGAAACTTAAAAAATGACCAATATCCAAGCCACATCGCAGAGCAATGAAATTGGAGTAGCAGTGGAGAGGAGCAGGAGTGGAGTGGTTTCAGTAGATTCAGTAGGAGTCCAACGTGCACAAGTTGAGAGCTGATGCTTGAAGTGCAGGTAGGGAGCCCCAGAGAGCAGGATTTCTCATGGTTATACAGAGGAATCCCAGGTGCCTGGGGGAAGACCCTCACTTTCCAAAGCAGTGTCTGTTACTAGGGCCCACAGATCATGCAGGTAATGATGCAGCTCCCTAGAATCCTTCAGAGTCCGGGGACCCACGATGCCAGGCAGGCATAGGAATCTATGCTTCTCAGCTCCTTACAGATGATTCTCCTCCTCCTAGAGACAGTGAGCCTGCTAGACTCAATGGCATCAAGCCCTCCAGGAAGGTTAAATGTCAGATGTTCAAACACCGAGTTTGGCTGATTCAGTACATCTGGGTGGGGCCAGAGACTGGGGAACATGTCCAACCCCCTCTTCCTTGCCACCATGTTCTGCTGCTGGTCAGGATCCAGCGCTCCAAGAGCCACTGTCTGGAGAAAAGCAAGCCTACTTGCCTCCTCATGGAGCACTCTTCATGCCCTGTCAGGCTACCTTGGGCAAGTGCTTTTCAATTTCCAAATTTTACTTCCTCTCTCTTAGGGCAAGGGTTAAAACTAATAGATAATTACACAGCAGTTCATCTTCTATTTATAGACAAGGGCAGCCAGATTTACTATTTTAATCCCCTAGTGTTTCTCAAATTGACCTGGAGTCCATGGCTGAGGTAGGTGAGTGCTTTATGGATGAGGCCTCCCCTGCAACATCAGTGCAGGAGCCACCGAGCCCTCCATGAGGGCTCAAAGGAAGACTTCACTGAAGGAGAGACTGGTGCGTGGGGGGGATGAGTGACCTAAGCAGGCAATAAATAAGAAACAACAAATGCCCCCAAAGAAAGAAAGCATTCAAAGGACAATAAGGGTATTTTATAAGAGTACAAACAGCCAGTAAGTACAGGAAAATAGATAAATTTTCCTAGAAATGCTAATTACCACCAGGATCAGATGCCATTCTTCTCTTAGGCTGGCTGGCAAAGATGAGAAACCCTGCCACACCAGGGGTGGGAGGGCTGGAGGGGGAAGGGAGTGTAAACTGGAGGGCAAGCTGGCAATAGGGGTCAAGGGGTTTTAGAAAGTACAGTAGTCCCCCCTTTTCCTTAGGGTAGTACCTCCAAGACCCCCAAGTGGATGCTGGAAACTCAGCACAGCATTGAATCCTACATATATTATGTTTCTTTTTATACATACACACCTTTCACTTAAAGGAAGCATTTACGGCTCCTCTGGCATGTCCGAGCTGCCAGCATCACTACTCTTAAGCTTCAGGACCATTATGAAGTAAAATAAGGGTCACTTGAACACAGGCACTGAGATACCACAACAGTTGATCTGATAACAGCTACTAAGTGACTAACAGGCAATGAGCATGTATATCATGGAGATGGGGACAAAGGGACGAGTCACATCTCCGGTGGGACAGAGCAGAATGCTTAGAGATTTCATCACACTATGCAGGGCAATGTGCAATTTGACACTTATAAATTGTTTATTTCCAGAATTTTCCATTTAATATTTTTGCACAGCGGTTGGCCATGGGTAACTGAAACCACAGAAAGCAAAACCACAGATAAGGGGGATGACTATATACACTATCGCATCTGTTGGTTCACTTCTAAGAAGACTTCCTATGGAAATAACCAGTGAGCAAAGATTTGTGCCAGGATATTTATCTCAGTGAGGCTAATAAATATAGAAAAACAGCTACAGTAACCTGTTGTATAAACTCAGAACCTCCAAACAGCAGAATATTATGTAACCATTGTTTCCAGCACCCACTTGGGGATCTTGGAGGTAATGCCCTAATATTAAGAGGAGATAGCTAAGTTCCATGGCAGAGAAAAATGTTCACAAACACCAGAAAAGTTTCCATATAGTTTGGGTGATGAAAGCCCATATTAGTAAAAGAACACAACCGCTTACAAGGAATATACAGGCAGTCCTCGGTTTATATCACTAACTCTCATTTATTTATTAAAAAAAAAAAAAAGTTGTCATTTTGACATATGTACATATGTGCTTTATGTTTTTTATTATTTACTGCATTTACCATAAGGTCAGGAATTATTATCTTTCTTTTAAATTTTTTTCACTGTTTCCTTCATTACTGCTGTGTATGTATGTGTTCTATGTGAGTGACGTAGGTGCGTTCCAACTTACAGTGAAAATCGCGTTAATTACGTCATGCTGTAGGAATGGATCTCCAATGTAACCCGAGGACCTACTGTATAAAGAAATAAATCTAAAAGGACTTGAACACAATTGTGAGATTATGGGTAATTTAAACTTTTCTTATCTCATGTAAAACCTTTTTCTATAAGGAACAAAGGTTATTTTGCATTAAGGAAAAAAAAAAGTGACCAGACTGACCAGGTGTGGAAGAACATTCATGAAATCACAAGTGTGCAATCATGGGCATGTCTAGGGAATGACAAGTAGCTCAGTCCAATGCTAGAGAAGTGTGTGTGAGGTTTAGGGGCTGGGATGAGGGGACAGGTCTCCCAGAGACTTGTGAGCTGCAGGCAAGGGTAAGGGCTTCATTCTGAAGAGGTGCACAGCAATGAGACCGAAGCTGAGCAAACTGAGTTAGAGGCTGAAGACCAAGTGGCCAGTATGACAGACAGTCCAGGAGGAAAGAGGCTGGTTCCTGGTCCCCCATGGCCATATGGCATCTGCAGAGGGACCAAACACCAGAAGAGAGAGCAGGGCAGAAGCTTCTAGAAGGAAGAGGAGACAGTAATTCGCTGTGTCTATGAACAGGAGAAGAACAATAGCTAGAACAGTGGTTTTCAACTGTGAGTGATTCGGCCCCCTCAGAAATATTTGGCAATGTCTGGGGACATTTTTTTGGTTATCACAATTCAGAAAGTGACACTGGTATCTAGTGGGTGAAAATCAGGGATGCTGTTAAAAATCCTACAATGCCCCACCCCAAGAATTATCCAATCCCAAATAGTGATAGTGATCAAGTTGAGAAAACCTCAACTACAGGAAGTTAAGAGAATTTTAGCAATAATTTTTTTTTAACTCCTTACTCAAGAATATGTTTTCCATTGATTCTAGAGAGAGGTAGGGAGAGGGAGAGAGAGAAACATCAGGAGGTAGGCACCACCACACCCACATTATGGATGGAAACACTGAGGCTTAGAAGTCATACTGCAAGGGAGTGGAGATTAGGGCTTTGAACCAGCCTACCAACCCCACATCCAGTCTGTTGAACCATAGCCATGCTCCCACCCCCCCACACAGAGGTCAAGTTCAATGTGTTCCAGATGTTCAGGTTGATGGAATGACAACGCCTAAACCTAATGAGGGGCACTCACTGGGGACTCAGTGAGCCTGACCATGTGTGGGAGCCTGGGAAGATGAATGGGCCTGCCTGGAGCAGGGCGCTGGCCGGAGTCCCTTCCATAAACGGCCCACCAGACTAGGCTGTCCTTCTTTGGCCCCTTCCAGCTCTCAAGAGCAGATCCAGTTTCTGTATCTCATTTTTCCTCCCCTCCCACCATCTTATTTTGGACATACTCTCTGTCTAATGTTGATTTTTACCTCTTTTGGGAAGCTACATCTAATTGTATAACAGGGTGGTGGCAAAGTAGAGTCTGAGATAAAAATGAAACTTTACAAGCATCACTGCAAGGCTGCAATTCTGCATTGAGGGTCAAGTGCTGCAAAGTCACAGGTAAAAAAGACAGTGCTTAGCAGGACAGCCACAAGCACTCCCTCTACAAAAACGTCTTGGATAAAAACAACAACAACAACAACAACAAAAACATCTTGGTTTCTTTACCTGCAACTTTATCCCGAATAAGTTTTGCAGACTCGACTTCACCAATGCTGCTGAACAGACTTCGCAACTCATCCTGGGTCATGTTCTGAGGGAGGTAGTTGACTATTAAATTTGTTCTCCCGATGTCATCCCTGCAGTCTTCGGCCATGTGGTCTTCATAACCATTAGACATTGTATGTTTTAAAAATCTGCAGGGGAAGAAAATCAAGTAAATTCCTAATGTTCATATTACAGAATGGGTAACAAAACTAATAACTGCATTAGCATTTAATTTTCTCTTCAACATGTGTTCACACAAAAACCTGCCCATGGATGTTTACAGCAACTTTATGTACAACTGCCCCCAAACTGGGAGAAATCACGATGTCCTTCAGTAGGTGAACGGATAAATAAAACATCTACACAAGTGAGTATTATTCAGGAATAAAAAGAAATGAGCTATGAAGCCATAGAGACATGGAGGAAACTTAAATGCACACCGCTAAATGAAAGAAAACAGCTTGAAAGGCTATATATATTTTTTCAATTACACAGCACTATGGAAAAGGCAAAACAATGGAGACAATAAAAAGATGAGAGATTGCTGGAATTTTGGGAGAGGGATGAATACTTGGAGCACAGAGGATTTTTAGGGCAGTGAAGCTATTCTGTTTGATACTATAATGGTGGATACATGTCTTTCTACATTTGTCCAAACCCATGGAATGTACAACATCAAGAGAGAACCCTAAAGCAACTACAGGCTTCAGTTAGTATGTATCAGTAATGGTTCACACTGTGAGATGCTAATAATGGGGGAAATTTATGTTCGAGGAGAGGTATACAGAAACTCACTTTGTACTTTCTTAGCAATTTTTCCATAAACCTAAAACTACTCTAAAAAGTCTGTTACAACAAAACAAAACAATTCCAAGTTCAACCATTTCCACTTACTAAGAGGGCTTCAAAAAAGACACATACAATTTCAGTACCATCATTTAAGTTCCATACACGATGTGCAACATTAGTCTAATCTCCCAGGATTTCTTTTACAGTACTTATTTGCAAATGTTCTGTTCCCTGCTCTTTATAAAGTAGTCTGGCATCAAAGGCCAAAAAAAGAGATTAGAAAGTTAGACTTCATAAGGTTCAAAACTTTGCATGCCAAAAGGCATCAGAAACAGACAAGCAGCAGACTGTGAGAAAACACAGTTGAACTTAACACAGAATTGAAAGCATGCAGGCTTTGGAATGCCTTTATTGGACCCACACAGTTCAAATTCATGTTGTTCAAAGGTCAACTGCATTTTTATAAGGTGGATTTTTGACTACATAGGTATCAGCACCTTTAATACCCGTGTTGTGCCGAAGCCGGTTTGGCTCAGTGGTAGAGCATCAGTCTGCGGACTGAAAGGTCCCAGGTTCGATTCCGGTCAAGGGCATGTATGTTGGTTGTGGGCACATCCCCCGTAGGGGGTGTGCAGGAGGCAGCTGGTCGATGTTTCTCTCTCACTCTCATCGACGTTTCTTGCTCTCTATCTCTCTCCCTTTCTCTATGTTAAAAATCAATAAAATATATTAAAAAAAATACCCGTGTTGTTTAAGGGTCAACTGTATTTGCTGCCTATTATATTACTTAGATTGATGGTTCTCACCCTGGGTGATTCTTCCCCCAGGGGACACTGGGCAATGTCTGGAGATAATTCTGATTATCACAACTGGAGAGTGGGATGTGTGTGTGCATGTGCTGTTGGCATTTAGTGGGTAGAGGCCAGGGATGCTGCGAAACACTCCACAAGGCAAAGACAGCCCCTACCAAGATCTATCCAGCCCAAAAATGTCAATACTGCAGTAACTGAGAAAAGTCCATTTAGAGCATTTACAAATTAATTTAAAAATCTTACCTAATAAAGGAGAAACCAAGATGGCAGCATAGGTAAAATCTAAACTGCTCCTTGCACAACAATTTCAAAACTACAATTAAAAGACAAAATGGACAACATCCAGAACCACAGGAAGGCTGGCTGAGTGGAAATTCTACAACTAGATGGAAAGAGAAAAGCACACTGAGACTCACAAGAGCTGTGGAAGATAGAGGTGCGGAGGGGTACACGCAGAGAAGGCTGGCAACTGAGAAAGCGGCTAGCTTTTTCAAGAGGGAGGGAGACAAAAACTCCTGACTGCTCTGAACTCCAGTTCTGGGCGAGACTCTGGGGACCCAGACTCATATGGGGAGAAACTGGACTGTCTGGCAGCAGGTGAAACTTGAGGGCAGCTTTCTCTCAGAGGTGCTTGCAGCAATTACTATGGGACACTGAGACCCAGTGGGCCTCTTAGGGCAGGGCTGATGGGAAGCCATTGCTGGTTGTTCTGCCCTGAGATCCCAACCCATGAAGCCATTGCTCGTTGCTTCACCCTGAGACTCCGCCCTATCCAAGCTGAGCGCAAGTGGCTTTTGCATAAGAATGACCGGGTCCTCTGAATTCTAAACTTACCTAACAAACTGGAGCTGAGTCAGTGAGACCCAAAAACATCCAAAAGAAAGCCCAAAGCCCCGCAGCAGCTTGCACTGCTTCACAGCTGGGCCTCATCTGGGCACCTCCAAAACCCAAACAAAGAAGAGGAATCTGCAAATCTCTCCGTAGCTCCAGCTGGGTGGCCTAAAGCAGAGGCAAAATTAGCACCTTCTTGGAGATCCAAGAGCCACTGTCCCAGGGGTCTGAGTGGGACCATCCAGATTACAACTCCTCAGATCCATAAGGGACACACTCAGGGGACAGATTCAGTGAGCACCAAAGTCCCACTGAAGCAAGTCTTGCCTCATAAGAGTGTCTCCAGCAAAGAAGTTCTCCCATCATAGACACCAGCTGATTTTCACAGACAATTGGCCTGGAGGTCAATTCCTCCCAGTGATACCAACAACAATCAAGGCTTAACTATAACAAGACTGTGCACATAGCCCACAAAGGGGTGCACCTCCTTAGGTAACTGGGGAGGCTGAGCCTCTGAGCCCTATAGGACACCTAGCACACAAAGCCACTCTATCAACTCAGGGAAGCAGCCAAAATGCAAAGACAAAGAAACAGGTCACAAATAAAAGAAATGGAGGAAAGCAAATGACTGGATATAGAGTTCAAAACCACGGTTTTAAGTTTTTCTAGAATTTTCAAGAATTTAATAAATTTAGCAAGACCCTGGAGGATATGAAAAAGACCAACTAGAAATTAAGCATACACTGACTGAAATAAAAAATAACATACGCAGATCCAACAGCAGATCAGAGGATCGCAAGAATCAAGTCAGAGACTTGAGATACAAAGAAGCAAAAAACACCCAACCAGAAAAGCAAAAAGAAATCAAATATATGAAGATAGTGTAAGGAGCCTCTGGGACAACTTCAAGCATACCAACATCTGAATTATGGAAGTGCCAAAAGAAGAAAGAAAGCAAGATACTGAAAACCTATTTGAAGAAATAGTGACAGAAAACTTCCCCCACCTGGTGAAAGAAATAGACTTACAAGTCCAAAAAGTGTACAGAACCCCAAACAAAAGGAATCCAAAGAGGACCACAACAAGACACATCATAATTAAAATGCCAAGGGCAAAAGACAAAGAGAAAATCTTTCAAGTAGCAAGAGAAAAACAGTTAGTTACATACAAAGGAGCACCCATACGATTGTCAGCTGATTTCTCAACAGAAACTATGCAGGCCAGAAGGGAGTGGCAAGAAATATTCAAAGTGATGAATAGCAAGAGCCTACACCAAGGTTACTTTATCCAGCAAAGCTATCATTCAGAATTGAAGGTCAGATAAAGAGCTTCACAGATAAGAAAAAGCTAAAGAAGCCCATCACTACCAAATCAGTATTATATGAAATGCTGAAGGGTATTCTTTAGGAAGAGAAAGAAGAAGAAAAAGGTAAAGATAAAAATTATGAACAACAAATACAAATCTATCAACAAGAGATTCTAAAAATCAAGTGAATAAAAAATCTGATGAACAGAATAAACTGGTGAATATAATAGAATCAGTGGTATAGAAAGGGAATGGACTGACAATTCTCAGGGGGAAACGGGTGTGCGGAGTGCGGGAAGAGACTGGACAAAAATTGTACACTGGAGAAATCCAAGATGGCTGCTCAGGTAGACACCTAGCCGCAGCCGCACACAACAATTTCAATAAAATACAACTAAAATATAAAATGGACATTACCCAGAACTATAGGAAAGTTGACTGACTGGAAATTCTACAACGAGAAGCAAGGAGAAAACCAGAAGGAAGAGTGGAGGAGCTGGAAAAGCCTAAATATGGAGACACGCGGCGCACGCGGAGAGGACAGAGCTGGAGAGGAGGGAGGCTGAGTGCCTGGCGGGAGTTCCCTACCAGGAAGGAGATAAAAGCTCCAATTGTGCTGGGCTCCAGTTCCGACTGCTCTGAAGCCCAGTTCTAGGTCAGACCCCGGGGACCCAGACTTTAACAGAGGGAGCTGGGCTGTAAGGCGAACCCCGGGGGAGCAGCAAAAGGAGGTACTGGAGGCGCGCATATTGCGCGCAGAGAAGGGATGGTTGGTGGTGCCGTGGGATTGCCCTGGCGGAAAGGAGACAGGGACTCCAGACTGCTCTGAATGCCACCTCCAACTCCACTTCCAACTGAACTGAACCCCAATACTGGGCTCATTGGGGGAGAGCCTAGACTGTTTGGTAGCAGGCGAAAATCGAGGGCACCTTTCTCCCAGAGGTGCTTGCAAGCGAGTACTTAAGGACCCTGAGACTCAGGAGCCGAATAGGGTGGGGCTGATGGAAGCCAAAGCTGTAGGCTCCACCCTGAAATCCCGCCCCATCAGGGAAGCTGTGAAAATGCCGAGTCAAAATAGATCACAAACGAAAAAAATGGAGGACAAAAAGCGACTGGATATAGAGTTCAAATCTAAGCTTATAAGGTTTTTCAAGAATTTCCTAGAAAAGGTCGATAAGACCTATGAGTATATGAAAAGGGATCAACTAGAATTAATAAGGAATCAATGAGAAATGATAAGGGATCAACAAGAAATAAAGAATACATTGTCTGAAATAAAAAATATTATCCAGAGTCCTAAAAACAGAATGGAAGATCGCAAGAATCAAGTCAAAGATTTGGAACATAAAGAGCCAGAAGACACTCCTCCACAGAAGCAAGAAGGCAAGAGAATCC